CTAACTTGTACATGGAAATTTTGTTTTTAATAGTATAGAAAACAAATTCATATTCATTATCTCTCTCATCACAATAATATAGGAGAATCAGATATATTTACCTACAGGAATCAAAACTGTAGGTAATATATCTATATAATCATGCAAATATTTTATATATTTGGAATTGTTTCTTCTTAGAGGTTTACATAAGAGAAGTATAAGTTAAAAGAATTAAAAAGGGTTAAGGTGAGGGGCACTGGGTGGTTCAGTCAGTTGAGCATCCTACTCTTGATTTTGGCTCAGGTAATGATCTCAGGGTTGAGATCAAGCCCCGTGTGGGCCTCCATGCTGGGTGTGGAGCCTGCTCAAGATTCTCTCCCTCCCTCTGCCCCTCCCCAAAACCACCCCTCCCACACTTGCGTGTACACTCTCCCTCTTAAAAAAAAACAAACAAAACAAACAAACAAACAAAAACAAAGAGGGGGAGTTAAGGTGAAAGATGTTGACATTTATTGCTGAGAACAATGAAATTCCCAAGAATGATTAAATGGTGCTCTGGTCAGCCAATTCCAATGTGAGGAGATGTTTCTACACTATCAACAAGCAATGTTCTGGACAGCAGCTGGGTAACCTATAATTCAACTCCATTCTGATATCTACCAAGAGACAGCAACATATTCCACTGGTAAAGGGCTTGCTCCCACAAGACTACCCTCTACTTTGGATGCTAACTGTAAGCCTAGGTTGTTACCTGTGCTTCTGACCATACAGATACGTAGGGTGAGGTCCTAAACAAAGCAGCTTCTGTCCTTCTGGAATTTGGGGCCAGCATAATGGCATGTGAAAATATTCTGGAAGCTCTCTGAACCCTCTCCTCTTTGGGTTTTTACAGAGGCTTCCTTACACAGAAATGATTAAATCATTGGCAACTGATTAAAATTTCGCCCCCTCACCCCCCCACCATTGGTGGGACTGAAAGCTTCAACCCTCTAATTATAGGATTGGTTTCCTTGGCAATCAGCTCCCATCCTTAGTTGCTGTCCAAAAGTCACCCCATTAACATAAACCCAGTCCTGGTAGAAAGGAGCTTGTTAGAAATAAACAAGACATGCATTTCACCTTCATGGCTCCACAAAAGATGTTAAGAGACCAAATATTATGATGAAAGATGATCCTATAACTCTTACTGAACTACCCAGTGCCCCTCACCTTAACCCTTTTTAATTCTTTTAACTTATACTTCTCTTATGTAAACCTCTAAGAAGAAACAATTCCAAATATATAAAATATTTGCATGATTATATAGATATATTACCTACAGTTTTGATTCCTGTAGGTAAATATATCTGATTCTCCTATATTATTGTGATGAGAGAGATAATGAATATGAATTTGTTTTCTATACTATTAAAAATAAAATTTCCATGTACAAGTTAGGTGATGTTTACAAAGTGATAATACAGAACTAACCAGGACCATAAATGTTTAAGAATACTAGTTATAATTGGAATTCTGTAAATCACATAGTAGCCACTTAACTCTGTAGAGTAGTGGCTCAGGAAATTCCAAGAGTTTGGGAGCTGAGGGCCAAGAACTGTGGACTAAAGCCAAATATATATGAGAAATACATTCTGGTCATCTAAATGATCAAATACACATTTCTCATAAATCACAATATTGAAATGATAATGGAGAAAGAAGGGCACAGTTTGCCAAATAAGGTGGGTAGAAAGGAGCAAGAGCAGTTTGTGAGGCTAAGGAAGAGACAAAGAAAAAAAAAAGATTCAAACACTGTAAGAATTATTTTAGAAAATCTTAAATTTCAGTCTTTACTACAAACAACATTAAGAGGACCCCGAGTTGAGACATGCTATATGTACTGGCTTGTGAGATACTAGAAAACACAGAAGTATCTTCTTTTCTAGGAAAAAAATATGATTCTCCTGTCATATTTCATCATCATAATATTTACCATATTCATCACTTACCATATGCCAGGCACTAGTGCTTCCAAATGTATTTTCCAACTTCTTAGGTAGGTACTATTATCCTAATTTATAAACAAAGTCTTAGAAAAAAATTAAACATCTTACCTACAGCTATATAAGTTATCAGCGGCAAAGCTGGGATGTAAACCCAGATAAGTTATCTTCCAAATTTGTGCTCCTAATACAACATTCTGAGAGGCAACACAACATGGATTCAGATTTTTTCCATTAAGAATCCGTAAAAGGCAAAACTCAGTGGTAGAAAGAACCCTGACCAGAGATTGAAAAACCCAGATTCTAGTCTACGATCTGCCACCTTGATTACTGATGGGTTTACCTCTCTGGATCTAAATTTTCCCATCAATAAAATGACAAGGTTGAACTACATTACTAAGATACTACCCTCCTAAATTGTGAAGGGAAAATTTAATGCAAATATAGAATGGCAGCCTAAACAGAAGGAATTGACATTTTTGCCAGAAACTAAATAAACGGTATAGTACAAACCTTACCTCAAATCCATACCAAACTTGGCTAAAAAGTTATTATCACCACCATAGATGAAGAAACTTAACTTCAAAGAGGTGGAGGTTAATTTGCCTATAATCACCTGACAGTATGTGACAGAGCTAGGGTTGGAATTAAGGACTATTTAGTAGGCTCTTTCCTCTATTCTACATTGCCTCCTGAACTGAATCTCCTATTTCCATCATCTTTCTACCTCTGAAAAGCTAGAGTATCCCTAACCCACTTCATAGGATCAGTCACCATACAGTGGAGCAAGGATTAAATCCTATGGAGGCAAACAGACCAACGCTTACTCCTCATTCTCTCTTTTTTTTCTTTTCTTTTTTTTAAGATTTTATTTATTCTAGAGGGAGGGGCAGAGGGAGAAAATCCCAAGCAGACTCCCCGCTGAGCACGGAGCCCAACTCTGGGCTTGATCTCATGACCCTGAGATCATGACCTGAGTGGACCCGAAGAGTCAGACGATCAACTGACTGAGCCACCCAGGCACCCCCCTATATTTTTTAAAGATTTATTTCTTTTTAGAGAGAGAAAGCGCACCGGAGCACATACACGAGCAGGGAAGGGGCAGAGAGAAACGGAGAGACAGAGAATCTCAAGCAGACTCCCACTGAGTATGGAGCCCTACCCCAGGGTCAATGTCACAACCCTGAGATCATGACCTGAGCCTAAATTAAGAGTTCAAGACTTAACCAACTTAGCCACCTAGGTGCCCCTTCACTCCCTATTTTTAATTAAATACTTAGGGGCAGGAACGACCTAACTAGTTTATAAAGAAGGGATAATCAAGTGCCTTTTTTCATGATACTGTCACTCCATCTATATACCTCAGAACTCAAATGCCCTATAATTCAGTGAATGCCCAAAATGTACTCAGCATCAGATATACAGTATGAGAAGCTCCACTCTCTTTTCTATAAGTCACTAAACTGCATTAGTCCAAAAATAAGTGTTATGGCTAGGGAATCAAGATTTTTTTCAGGGTTAGTGTAGGTTTGAAGAACAGTCTACTTCTTTTCAATCTTTTCATAAAGTAATATATCTCAAGAGAATTGAGCACTTATATACACTGTTACTAGTATTAGCAGTAATTACCCTCTAATAGCCATAAGACAACTATACCTTAATCCAGAATATAAGTACAAGGAAGAAAAAAATAAATCACATTGGTTCTATTCATGGATTATGAAAAACTTCATCACATTTCATTCAATAAACATAAAAATGCTCAGTGTTGGTAATTAATATTTACAGAGTGTTTATGGTATGTCAGGCAGTTTTTAGGAGAACCACCTCATTTGTTCTTCATAACAATTCATTAAATCTAAGAGCTCTGATGTGGGCAAAAATTTCCTGTTATCACAGGTGGACTGAAAGAAAGGCAAAGGGTGAAAGTGAGGAAGCCAGGAATGTAAACCAGCCAGCTTACTCTAGAGCAAGGGAAACTCTTAGAAACTAAGCACCGGTGCCTTGGACAGTTAGGCATTACTCTCATTTCAGAGATTGGGAAAATGAAGAGATTTAGTCTCCTACCCAGTGTCAAGTGAGCAAGTGGAAAATTCAGCACTCAGATCTTGAGTTAATGTTCTGACTTAATCCAGTGCATTTCCCATTACACTATACTCTCTAACACTAAAACCTGACATTTGTATACATCTTCCTATTTTATAAACAATATTGCATTAAAATTTTCTAACGACCCTGTGAGTGATGTATCATTCCTAATTTACAGATGAAGTAGGGAGTGATCACAAAAGGTTGGGAAATTAGATATGGCATGTTTAGAGAACCAGAATTTAAATTACGCGTTGAGATCTTGAGCAATCCAATTCAAAATTCCAAAGCAGGAAAAAAAAAACTGTCTCCTATATTTAAGAGGCACGGGTCAGTTTCAGTCCTAGTACGTCACTGTCTTCGAGCATCTTAGCATATCTCCAACAACACATGCTGGAGCAGTTTATATTTCAACTTGTATTACTGTTCTAGCGAATATTTTACCTCACTTTCGAGTGAGTTCCTTGTACGGACACGAGTCAACCTACCATGCATGTATGTAGTAGTCACTCAACAAATGATCAAAAATCATACCAAACATACAGAAACGACGAACATCTACTGTTAGCCTCGATAACGGACGGGGGTGGGGGGAAGTTCATGTCCACTGCCCCAGGCAGTACCGTCCTAGCCACACGTCCCTCTTTCGTTTTCGATATAAATGCCATCTCAATGAATGAAATAAAACTAATGGCGCCCTAGGAATTCAGAGTACGGAAAGAAAATAAGCAATAGAGACAAAGAGAGTGAAAGACCAAGTAGGGCCTGGAATCACTAGCATGAAAAGATGACATGAGTAAGGGAAGCCCAGGGGCGGGCTGCTCCCTAGCCAAAGGAGAGCGCACGGACTTGTGAAGAAAATGACGTGTCTCTTCGAAGCAGCAACGGCAGCGGAGGTTGGTCCTGGCACCGCCCGCACCCCTAGCCCGGCTGAAGCGAGTCACTCACCCCGAAGACAGGCTACGTAGGCCGCCCCCAGGGCCGCCGAGTTTCGATTCCCCAGTGTTTGGAAACGGACGGAAAACAAACCGGGTCGCCAGAGGTCACCACGGGCTTCCGGTTTCCTCGAAGACACCGCCGCTTCCCCAGAGAAGGCAGCCGCTCCGGGAACGCCGCGGAGGAATTCCCATTTCTTTAGCCTCCACTACGCCGCCAGCGGCGCAGCCCGGCCCGTCGACTGGAGCTCCAGAGGTTGTGGAAGGAGGCACAAGTCGAGGAGGAGAAGCCGAGCGGCTGCCGAAGAAGGCCCGTTACCCAGCAACACGCGCGCGAGACCCAGGCCCACCGGCGCCCGCCTCGTCAGCGTCCGCACCGGCTGATGGCCATGTCGCGTTCCGCGGAAGGGAAGCGCTGTCGAGGGGGACTGGAAGGGAAGACGAGCAGTGAACGGCCGGAAGTGGAACTCCTGCGGTCCTCAGGCTGGGCTCCGAGGCCGCGCGAGCAAACCGGAAGTCAGTCCGCAGGGAGCTGAGGGGGCGTTCTCGAAGCCGGGGCGGTGAGGGGTGCGGGAAGGAGAAAGTGGGCGCGGCGTACTACGTGTCCCGTGAGTCTCCGCGGCGGGGCGGGGCCGCGGCGACGCAAGGAGCGGAGGCGGAGCTGGAGATGGGTAAGCGTGTTACCGGCCGCTGTGGCGGTTGGGTCGCTGGGGTGTTTTTCCGCCTTCTTCCAGCGCGTCCTTTTCATTCGGCGTCCGCTTGGGGGTCCCCGAGCGTCTGTGGTGCGTTTTGGGTCCGCTCAGTAGCGCTCTTCCATGTTTATAGCGCTGTCGCCTCGCTGTGGCCGGGAGCTGGGAAACTAACGCCGCTTTCGGGGCGGGCGGAAGGAGCTGTTCAAGCCCCCACCTGCGTTTCCTGGGCGCTACTGCGAAACTTCAGGCCATCAGTTGAAACACAAGCTCGGCGAATTACTCAAGGTCCCATAGTTATTCGGCACAGTGCTCTTTAAAAAAAAATCAACTTTATTGAGTTTTGGGCAAAGCTTTGGGATTTGGGGATGGTAACCGGCTGCCCTGGAGTTGCTTCCGCCTTCCAGTATTTCTAGATGATAGCCCTGAGCTGTGGAGTCACGAGTAGTTGAACTCTACTGTCTTTGGAGGTCGCAGCCACATGGAACCCCTCAAGCTGTAGGGCTACTTCTGATTTTAAAAAATAAGCGAGAAAACGGTAATTGTAGGCAGTTTATCCTCATTAACCGCCAATTAGCAACAATGACACCCTTCGCCACCCTCTTACTTAGTACTTTGTCAACTGAAGGCTTATTGTTTAAATAGGTGTTTTGTGGGAAGGTGTTTTTACATCGCGTTTTAATTCATCAGCCCACCTGTCAGCTCTGATCAAAGAATGGATTCGACTCAAGGGTTAACTTTAAAATACGTTTTTGTTGTTGTTAAGCTTCTCTTTTTGGTTTGAGTGAAAGTTCACGGCTATTGCGAACAAAGACCACACGCAACTTAAAGTTACATCATATTTTTAAAAATCTAAATAATAAAATCATTTGCTTCAATTTGTCCGGCTGCGGCATGGAAGAGAGCAGTGTTTTTAGTATTTTAGACATGAATCATTTATTTTTTGATGGCCTTGGTAAAGCGCTTTGCAAGTTTAAAAGACCACTAAATAGGATGTTTTCGCTAGTAGAGTTTTCAGGAATAGTCACAAAATTGGCTGAGGCACCCAAATCATCATAAATAAAATGATAATCTGGTTTCTAATTTGTAGATATGAAAATATTTTCTATTTTTCAACTTTCATTCACAATTTAGAATAATTTGAGACTTGTCGAAAACGAAGGGAAATTCATTTTTATCTTTTCTCTCTGAGTAAGGAGAAAATGACTTAGCCCGTTATTTTAAAGTTTTTCTGATGAGAGTCTATTTTTATTTTAAAATACACACCTCTTTACTATAATTATGAAAAAGGTGGGTCTTTATTAACAAAATTATTTTATATTAAAATTATTTTCTCCCACCTCATCACACCCACACACCCCCAAGAAAAAAAGCACATACACATGGACAAAAGGATGTAAACTACTTAAGTCATGACTTGATAAACTCTGTATATCCACATCTGTGTGTATCCTGAAACAACAGTCTTCAAACAGGGCAACGCATATCCCTAACCCTTAACCTTTTAGAAGGTACATGGAGGATTTCCATACATAATCCTTTACATAAAGGATAGTTTGAAGGTACTAATTCTCAGGTTGTCCACTTGCATGTTTTCTTCCCTAAAATTGATCTACCTCAGAGTGTGCCTGAATCAGACACCTTTCTCCCTTCCTCTTTGGTAATTGTCCTCCTACTCTACATGTAAAGCAATACCTTTAATCTGACTAAATCTGTTTAGAAAGTGAGTGATTCTAATGACTGGGTAGTTAATTCCTTTGCAAGAATGGCAGTTTCCAAAGGCCTTCAAAAATATTGCAGGACCTGGGGTGTCTGGGTGGCTCAGTTGTTGAGCTTCTGCCTCTCACTCAGGTCATGATCCCAGGGTCCTGGGATCGAGCCCCGCATCGGGCTCCCTGCTCGGCGGGAAGCCTGCTTCTCCCTCTCCCACTCTGCCTGCTTGTGTTCCCTCTCTCACTGTCTCTCTCTGTCAAATAAATAAAATCTTTAAAAAAAAAAAAATATTGCAGGACCTAATTGAATTGTCATCTGACCATTAAAAATAATTTTTATGTCATACCTCTATGTGATTTTTGGTACATGGCTTAGTAGTTCAAAAGAATGATTGTTGTTATAACCAGAAATCCTTCTACTCCCATATACTTGGAATGGAAGACTACAAAATAGAAGAACAACCTAACCTGTTTCTTTCTAGCAATGAGTAGTAGTCATTCTGGATACATGATCTAAATGGGTGTTGGGGGAGAAGGCCCTATCTATTTCTTTATGAGATGCATTTCCAATAAAAGCTGACCTGATATTTTCAAATGATCATAATTTGTAGTATTTTTGTTATTTGATCAGTAGTAGTCTAGTAATTTAATGATATCACAATATAATACTGAGGAAAATTTTTAGAACTTATGTTCTCAGGAATTTTAAAATACTTTTTTGTTGTTGAGGGAAATGTGATAGGATGGTCAATTTAAAATATTTTCAAACCCTAAAATGTTAGGATAAATTTATGTGGGAGAAGTGAGATAAAAATATGAATTCAAGAAGAAAAGGAAAGATAATCAAGTTCCCAACTGTGAAAAGAGAGCTTGCTCATGTGCTTTTCAACAGGATGAATAATAATGGATACTAAATTAGTATGGCATTTACATTTGATTTATAAAAGAAAGAGATGCTACTGTCTCTAGCAGCTAGTCTTGTTGTGCTAGAACTCTCTGTTGTATGTTCACAGACATACAATCTGTGCTTCATAATAACTTTTTGATTTGAAATGCTTTGTATTCAGTCAGAATTAGCTTCTAACAGAGCTTTCATTTTTTAAAAAATAAAACGTGAGTGTCATAATTGTATGCACAGTAACTAAGTGCAATAATTTTCTTTCGGAAATGTGTAGGTGAAGAAAAATTTGATAGCCCTGGAAAGCCCTAAAGTAGGGAGAAGTATGAGAACAGCTAAAAGAACAGCAGCAGAGAACCGAGTGGGGTTGGTATGTTGTACAGGGAAAGAAAAAAGATCCAGTAGAGGGAATCCTACATTCTTTTTAAATGAATTAAGAACAACCCTCCTCTGAGGCTTGACAGTTAATACTCTTGTTATTTGGGATATGAATTCATTGATTTATTCAGTAATTAACATATTTATTTAGCACTTACCATGTGCCAGACATTGTTTTAGGCACTGAGATGAAACAGGCAAATGACTTTTTAATGTATAAGGAAATAAAATCTATCACAGGGAGATCAGTCACATAGACAAAGACCTATGTGAAATTTAACAACATGACAAGCAATTTTCTCCCATTAATTTTTTATGACAGTTACTATATGTGCCTCTGAAAACTTGTTTTCCTATTTAAAATGGGAAGAGAAGAAATAATTTGGAGACTTCTACATGTTCACTGTAAAAACCAAGAAGACAAAAGTTTGTTAGAGGAAAGATACCTTATAAAGTTACCAAATAATGAAAGGATGACATTAAGCTTCTATAAGATCTATAGAAAGAAATTAAGCTAGATTTTTAAAAATAGATTATGTAGCAAAGGAGAGGGAAAATTTCCAAGCCCATTGCACAACTCACATTATATAAAAGTGAAATTGTTAAATTTATAATAGTTGCAAAATTAAAGACATAAGTTCCTAGTGTAGATTTTTAAATTGTGTATGTATGAATAGTCAGTTGGTTCTCTAAAAGTACAAAAAAAGATGGGTTTTTAATCACTGATATTAATCATTTACTCTACATTTTATATTGGTTCCTTTTGGCTTTAAAAAGCTCCTCCCTCTTATCCCATAGCCAATCTGTTCACGTGGATTTATGGATTCCACTCCTTATTTGTCTTTCCAATCCTGTTTCATCATCCCTACTATGCTACAGTTTCCTATTTGTATATTATAATAGTTTCTTCTAATTAGTTATTTCTTTTTTTTTTTTTTGCTTCTAACTCATTCTTTATATGGATATCTAAATGATCTTTTCAAAATGTATATCTTACCATTACATTTCTCTCTTACACTTCTGAAATGACTCCTTAGCATGTTTTAAAAAGCCATTCTTAAACTAGCCCAGCCTGTTTTTCCACCAGCTCCTAGAAACATTGCCAGCCCCAGTGTTGAAATTGGGTATCTTTGCTCATTTATAAAGTTTTCATTTAGCTGATTCTGATTCTGATCTTGTATATATACTTTTTTTATCCTTGATATTACTTAAAAATTCTCAGTTAATTGGGGAACCCTGGAAAGATTCTCCAACATCAGTTTGAGAATTATGGCTCTACTTACATATTTGTCTTAAAATGAAATTACATTTTGGGGCACCTGGGTGGCTCAGTTAAGTATCTGACTCTTGATTTCAGCTTAGGTCATGAAAATCTCAGGGTCCTGAGATGGAGCCCTGCTTTGGGTTTCATGCTGGGCATGGAGCCTGCTTAAGATTCTCGCTTTCCCTCTCCCTCTGCCCCTCCCCTTCTGCATGCTTGTGCACATGTGTGTTTTCTCTCTCTCTCTCTCTCTCTTTCTCTCTCTTTTTAAAGATTTATTTATTTGAGGGCACATGTGTGAACAAGTAGGGAGAGGGAGAGAATCCTCAAGCAGACTCGCCATAGAGCATGGAGCTGATAGCTCAATCTTATCACCCATGATATCAAGGCCTGAGCCGAAACCAATAGTTGGACACCTAGCTGACTGAGCCACCCAGGCGCCCGTCTTTCTCTCTCTCTCTCTCTCTCTCAAAAAAAAAAAAAAAAAGAAAGAAAAAAAGAAAACACATTTAGAAGAAGATCCTGTATCTCCAGATAATGGATATCATCAGAATATATTGAGTCACAATTTTTTAATATTATTGTGTCATAATATTTTTTAGAGTATGTGGCAGAAGGATATCATTATTTTGACACTAAGTGTTCCCTAGTAGAAATCAAAACAGTTTTCTTCCCTTTGTGCCCAAAATAAAATTTTTCTCCAAAGATCATCCTAAACTAATCAAAATTCTTAATCTTCTAAATCTTCATAATGAATTGCATTGCTACTTGTATGTTATTGGTAAGAGTGTTAAAAAAAAGTTCTTTATCCCATCCTACCAGTACTTCTTCTTAAATAATTCAAATTTTCAATTTGAAGAAGTGTTTCTTTTGTTTTTGTGACAAGGCAGTTATATTTATTATCTCAAATGAACTAATAGGTTTGAAATACCTGTGTTGGATAATGCAGAAGTTTAAAGATCAGAGATAAAGCAGAACTAGAACTACCTGGAAATACTTAACTATACATTGAGAAAATCATTGATATGTTGAGCTTAATAACTGAAGTGATTGCTCAAAACTAAGAGTTTTAGAAGCCAGATTATCCTTTTATTATTTTTCAGTTTTGATTTTTAGTTCTGTTTAGATGAAAAGGGAAATGAGATAATGACATCTACACCAAATCTTGTGTTTTAACTTGGGAATCTATTAGCAACAGAAATACAGTTTAGTACCAATAACATTTATATTCATGAAAAATGTAATTATTTTTTGACATTGAGTATATCGTTCACTAAGAGTATATCATTCACTAACTGGGACTATTTAATGTTTTGGTCAATATTTGTTATAAAAGTTATGAAACATAGGCCAAAGAGTCTCAAGAGAATGAAAAAAAAATGCTTTTGTCTGTGCAGCTAGGCAGAGGACAGTTATAGTTTTCCAGGTAGAGCAAACTCACTTAAAAAAATATGCATGTGGAGATCTTTGGGGAGAAAATAATGGCTTGGGTTGAGGAAAAGAGGAAGAGACCTGGGGAAAAATTTTATTCATCTTGATATTAAAGGAATCAGCAGAATATTCCATAATCCTTGTTCTCTAAAAATAAAAGCAACAACAAAAATCTTTAAAAGATTATAAATATCTTTCATCTTTACAAAAACTGTGAGACAGGTTTATTCACTTTTTTCAGAAAAGAAATACAGAACAATAAGGAAATTGTTAACTATAAAATGTAGCATTAGACATATTTATATGACATGTCTATGAAATGTTCCTTTAGTTAAGAGTTAGAGAAAGTGTGCTTTTACCCTACATGATCTAGATTATGTCAGTCTCACATCTCATTTTTGCTGAAAAAATAATAGAAATTTTAAATATTGATAATATATAATAATAATTTTGGTCACTTCTAATGATATCTTAATAAAAAATTTAGGAAAAATAGACTTACATGACATTCATTTTATTGCTTTGAATACTGAAGGATGATATATTTAAAACCAAATATATCAGTATTATGTTAAATATACACAGACTATTCAAAGACTGTCATACTGGATTAAAGAATGTGCTGATAATAAAAGATCTGTGGAAAATAGCAAAGGATGAAAAAATATCGATCATGAGTAAGCTAAAGTGGAAAGTAGCTTGATATAAAATATTACCATGAGACACAGCAGACTTTCAGAAAAAAAAAGTATTACTTCCACCAGAAGATAAAAAAACTCTGTGTGCATCTAATAAAACAGCTTCATATTATATGAACTAAGAGATAAACACACAATACTAGAAAATTTGAACTTACCTCCTCACTGATAGAATGAAAAAAAGAAAAAATACATTAAGGAAATAGATGATTGGAATTAAAATTATTAACATCACACCCACTAGGATGGCTATTATCAGAAACAAAAAACAAATGGAAAATATTTATCTTAAAATTAATATGGAATTTCAAGGGACTCAAGGGAATCCCTGAATCCAAAACAATCTTGAGAGTGGAACCAACTGGAGGTTTCACATTTGCTGACTTCAAAATATGTTACAGAACTACAGAATCAAAACAGTATGTCACTGACGTAAAGACATACATATAAATCAATGGAATAGGATAGGGAGCCCCCCAAAACCCTCATATAAGTGGTCAAATGATTTTCAGCAAAGATGCTAAGACCACTCGCTGGGAAAAGGGCAGTTTTTTCAACCAGTGGTGTTGGTTTGGGGAAAACTGAATATCCACATGCAAAATAATGAAGTTGGACCCTTACCTACTATATACAAAAACCAAGTAAATATTGATCAAAGCCTTAGATTGTAAGAGCTAACACTATAACAGTCTTAGAAGAAAGATAGGGGAAAGCTGCATGGCATTGGATTTGACCATGAGTTTTTGGACATGGCAACAAAAGAAAAAAAATAAGTGAAGGTCTCTAAATCAATCACTAATAAAATACAAAGAATCATCTAGTGACTCCAATCTTGGAAAAATACTGTGATCTTTACTTTGAATTTCACTAGAACTATCTAAATACATAACTGATGAGTAAAGAATATAACTTCAGCTTCAAAACTAAATCATATCTATGCTTAAATAGTATAGACAGTAAATGATATGGGAAAATGTTCACAATGTATTGGTAAGAAAGCAAATTGTTAGGGTTACAGCCCGATTTATTTATGTCTTTTTCTTCCATTAAAATTACAATTAAAAAGTAAAAAAATATACACAGAAAAGGAAAGAGGGAGTCATCAGTGGATAAAAGATTTCAACAAATATTCTGAAAGAAACTAGGTATGAATATATTGTCAAAAGAAATAGAGCCCAGGAAGCTTCAGCACAGAATTATATTAGGAGTCCACAGTGGAGATGGAAATCAGTTTTCCCAGAAAGACGATGGCAAGGAAGCCCTATGAAAGCCCTAAATGTAAGATGGAAGATGGATATGAGATTTTTGGAAGTCTTTTATGAAACTAATGTGCTTCTTTGTCTTCTCCATTTCATCATGCAGAAAGACAGGCAATCCAGGGTTCCTTCTAAAGCCAGAAGAAGAAAGGACCCACCCACTCTAAAGAAATAGAAAATTGGACAAACTGGGAAAAAGCTTTAGCTTATTTCTTTCCAGGGTAAGAATTCCAACTTACTCCTATTCTCAGCATGTCATGTTTACTTTGCAAATTTAGATGTGATATGTTGAAGAAGCATGGTCTCAGTTTTACATTATGCAATTTAAAATTACTTCTATTTTCACATTCTCATTTTAAAACTCTTTAGTGATTCATTTTCTCAATATTTGTGTAGTGATTCTTGAAACAATAATTATATAGTTATTCACTAGCACCCAGAGTAAGAAAGTCATCACTCTTTATTAGAATTATGACACTTATTTCTAAAATGAGGAACATAAATGATAATGTGTAAATCATTTCAAATGACAAGTTGAAATTCTCTAATTAGACTAGCTTGAGATTCTATTCTTGTGTCTTGTGATTTAAGGGAAGTGGTGAATTTAATTGAAGATTGTTCTTTCACGTTAGTGGAACAAAATTTTACCTTTAAGCAAATCAACTATATGACTTCTATGGCAAATAGCTTAAATAAAAGTCAGTTGAGAATGGGCACGTGTAGGGAGGAATAACCAAGCACATCTGAAATCAATGCTCTCTTTGCTCAACCTACAGATATAATTCTAATCCATTTATAGCACTATTGTGTTTGGTAGACTATCTGAAAAACTTAATTATGATGATCCTTGTTAGATCTGTTGTTTTATTCTGACAAGTCTCACTATACTGAATAAACTGGGATACTTGTAACCAATATAGACTTAAAGCATATAGATCAATTACTAAGATTTGAAGTTAGCATTTAGCACTATTAGATTTCTAATTATTTGTTAACTATTCCTTAAAAAAATTTAAAGCTGAAGAATATAGTTACTGCAAAAGATACCAGTTTTTAATTCTACTGAAAGCTTTCTTTCCACTCAACTTTGATTTCTGATTTTGGATGAAATTCATTAGTTATCTTCATTATTAAAACAAAAGAAAAAGGAAAGAGAATATCTATTAAGCATCTTGGAGCATTTATTCAGCCAGAATCTATCCAGAAGTATCTGCATAGACTAGTCCATGAATGATAAAGCTAAATTACAATTTTGCACAGATAATAGGCTCTTAATAAATTTTTGTTGAATCATTAAGTTTAATCTAAGGTTGACATATAGGCAAAAATTTATAAATTAGGTAAATGAATGAATAGCGAATGTTAAACTTATATCACAGAGAAGATTAGGGATAAATGCATTTTAAAGTTTAGAAGCAGGGACACCTGGTGGCTTAGTCAGTTAAGTGTCTGACTCTTGGTTTAGGCTCAGGGTCCTGCATGGGGCTCTGTGCTGGGGGGTGGAGCCTGCTTAAGAGTCTCTCCCTCTGCCCCCCCACCCCCCGCCCACCATTGTGTGCTTTTGCGCATTCTCTCTCTCAAAAATAATAAATAAATAAACTGCTTTAAAGTTTAGAAGTAAACTAAATTATTTAAGTTGAGCACTTGAGAAAAATCATTAAGGAAAGATGAAATAATTAGAGCACACTCATTCTGCTTTGGTTTCTGCATATTTTAATTTTCTATCCAACTACAAATAGAACTCACTTAAAAGCAGTGTAGAAAGGAAATCAAACATTTATTATATGTCTTTAGTGTATCAGGTACTGAAATGGGTTATTTTATACGCTGTTTCATTTTATCACTAAAACCATACCATGAATTAAGTATTATTATGATCAACATGTTCAGATGATAAAATGATATTCAGACCATTTAACTGACTTGCCTTAATTTAAAAATCTCAGGAAATGGAGCCAGAATTTAAATCCAGAATTACAGAAGAAGATATTCAGTTGATACATATAGCCATCCTGGTTGTTAAATATCAACACTGCCTGGGCCAGTCTTAATTCTGAAGTTCATATTATTTCCATTATTTTATAATACTCTAAATATTCAGTGCTTTTCTTTGACTGGAACTTTTTTAGATGTTGGGATACAGTGGTTAACAAGATAGATATGAACTTTTCCCTAAGTGGATTTTCATTATCTTGTAGAGGACTTCATCAAATAAATTATAATATGATGTGTTAAGTGGTATGTAAAGTAATTGAGAGGCCTGGGGGCACATCATAGGAACTTTGACCCCTACTTACCATTTGTTGGGTTGGTTTAGACATCACCTAAACCTAGCCTAACACCCTGTACCTAAAGCCTTAGTGTACCACATCTGCTTGCATAACATTCTGTATTTGTCTTCTAATACTTAATACTTAACATTACTTGAGGAGAGGGATTTTGTCTTTGCCTAAGCATTATGTCTGGCTCATAGCAAACCTTCAATAACTATTTCAGAACCAAAAACAAAAAAACAACAAAAAAATAGAATCAGGGTCTAAAATTGCAGCAAAATGTGAGAGAGCAGTTTTAGGTAAGATTTTAGGTATTATGATGAGAAGTGATGGAGATTTCCTTGTAAAGTAGGAGGCAAGTTTATCTTTTAAGAATGAGGAAGATGGTGTAGGATTTATTTATAAAGGTTTAGAATGATCACTGTGCAGATGCAAGAGGAAAGAGAAAGAATACATAAAAAGGATAGCCTTGAAGATGTGCTAACAGTTCCTCTGAGGTTGGAATCTTGGAACATGTAGTGGTACCAATAGGCATTGTATACATAATTTCCTTTAAGAATCAGCAGCTCAAATGCAAGAAATCAGGGATCAAGCCTATATTTGTTAGGAATGCTCTTGGCCTCAAGTAATTGGAAAGATAAAAAGTAGTTTGAACTTGTAAGGGTTAATTTTGTCACGTATCCAGAAACAGATATATAGAATAATGATGATTCCCAAAGTTAAGAACAAAAAACTTCACTCCTCAAAATGTTACTCTGAGTTCTTCCCTGCATATCAATTGGAAATGGTTTTTCTTCTGTTTTTTTCTAAAATCTTGTTTTGTACAATACTTTTTAAATTAAAATTGATCATTAAAATAAAAGTTTAGAAGGAAAATATCTCTCTGTGTTGTTTCCAAAACATTTTTTGGTTCATGCTGAATGTTATTTAGTACCAGACAACATTTGAACATCATTAAGGAACCCAGGACATAAAAAGAACTGATTGTACACTTTAAATGGGTGAATTTTATGGTATGCGAATTATATCTCAATAAAGCTGTCAAAGCAAAAGAAATGAACAGAAAAATGGGAACTTCCTCCCCTACACATCGCAAAACTTAAAGAATAGGAAAAAAATGACTATTCATTGTACAAGTAATATATCAAGAGGTTTCTTAAAAAGTGGTTTCTGGTTCTGGGGTGGCAGGGAAAGGTGGTAGATGAGGCCTAATCTTCTACCAAGACTATTAAGTGAGTGAAGCTTATGTTTTTATACCAGACTCTTCTTCAACCATTTGTATAATATATGTAATAACTTGCTCTGATCTCACAACACTTTCCACCTTGCTCTTTTCTTTCTTTGCATTTCTGTCCTAATTCACAAAAGGGGGAAAAAGAAAAAAACAAGCAGAAACCTACTCAGAGTTGGCTAAAATTGTTTTCTCCACTTGCTTCATAATTTCAGTTTAGCATGCTCCAATAAGGATTTCATCTCTTCCACTACCCTAATGTTGTTCATAGATCACCGATGACTTCCATGTTAAAATCCAGTGTCAATTTCTCTGTTCTCCTTACTCAAATACTAAGCAATATCGAATACAATCAACTGTTCTGTTTTTCTGGAAACATAAAAGTCACCAACTTTGATCCAGTTGCTTGGTCAGTCTTGATCACTACCACTTGATCACTACCTTTCTCTTATTCCCTATATCAGTGAGTTCTACCTATTTCACCTCTAAAACATGTGGAATCAGTCCACTTTTCTTAGAGCCCTACTTCAAAACCGAAACATTCTCTTTTCTCAAATCTATTCTTTTTACTGTAATATAATGTGTTTTTAAAATATATACTTTGGGGCGCCTTGGTGGCTCAGTCGTTGGGCGTCTGCCTTCGGCTCAGGTCGTGATCCCAGGGTCCTGGGATTGAGCCCCGCATCGGGCTCCTTCCTCGGTGGGAAGCCTGCTTCTCCCTCTCCTACTCCCCCTGCTTGTGTTCTCTCTCTCACTATGTCTCTCTCTGTCAAATAAATAAATAAAATCTTTAAAAAAAAATAAAATAAAATATATACTTTGTTGGGGCGCCTGGGTGGCTCAGTCGTTAAGCGTCTGCCTTCGGCTCAGGTCATGATCCCAGGGTCCTGGGATCGAGCCCCGCATCGGGCTCCCTGCTCGGCGGGAAGCCTGCTTCTCCCTCTCCCACTCCCCCTGCTTGTGTTCCCTCTCTCGCTGTGTCTCTCTCTGTCAAATAAATAAAATCTTTAAAAATAAATAAATAAATAAATAAAATAAAATATATACTTTGTTGAATTATACCATTCATACAAAAAAAGTGTGAAAATTGTAGATAAACAGCTCACAAATTATCCCAAAGTAAGTGTACTTGTATAACTACATTCAGGGTAAAGATGAATCTCTTCTTCTCACTCATTATCTGTCACAGTTATTAGGACCCTTGAAGAACATTGCCTGCCCCAGAGAAGCTACCTCATGGCCACTCTCAATCTAGATCCCTTTGATCCACAGCTAACTGCTATCTTAACTTTTAACACTGCAAATTAATTCCACCTGTTTTAAAACTTCATTTAAATGGAATCATATAATATGTATTTTTTAATTCAAGCTTTTTTGGTATGTTTCTGAGATTGAAGTTTGTGTAGCAGGAGGAGTTTGTTCATTTTTATTGCTATATAGTATTTTATACTGAGAGTACACCATATTTCACTTTTCTGTTCTACAGTTTATAGATACTTGAATTTATAGTTTTTGTCTACAAATCTTGAGCATATCTTGGACTTATCTATTGAGATAGGTAGATATTAGATATAGATATTTGTGTCATATATATACCTAGAAGTACATATGTTCAAATTTAGTAGATAGTGAAAAGCAAATTGCCAGTGGACATACCAGTTGGCAACCCAACCAGCTGTGTATGAGAGTTCAGGTTGGTTTATATTCTTGCTAACAC